AGAAGATTTTTTAGATTCTGATGATTACGGTGGATCATCACAACCGATGAGTTAAACGGAAAGATCTCTTCAATGGAAGCAATTTTTTCAAAAACTGAATCGCTACGCGATAATGAACATGCATACGGATTTAGAACTTTTCAGAATCTTCCGAGGTTACACCATGAACTTTGCACACTTTTGGAGTTTTACTGGATCGCTGAAATCAGCCTAACTCACTGCTTCAATGATTTCCTTCTCATTATTACGCTCAATCGTTTCGCGTAACTTTCGTCTTCGAGCCACTTCGAATGTTCCTCCATTATCGCTTCCATCAGACTTTCTTTTAGAGCTCTTACTTTCGTCCTTTTGAGATTTTCCATTAGTGGAGCTAGATTTCTGTTCTATCTTGCCATTGTTGTCGGTTCTATTCAACCAGTTTGAAATACGTTGAAGCAGTTCGAATGCCTTTAAGAGTAATCACCATTAATTTACCGAACAAATATTTTGAAAGCATTTTGAACAGTCTGATGCCATTTTCAAGCTGAATGTTAATACGATTACTCCTCGATACACAGTTAGATCGTTCGAGGCTCACTGCTAATCTTCAATGCTTTCTGCGCAAACTCAAAATTTGCATAAATTTACAACACCGAATGAATTTGCTAGCAACAAATGAATTTTTGCGAGTATTCACTTCAGTTTCTCCATCAGCAGCTTCCGTTTCAGATCTTGTCATGAATTCAGAGATCAACTCCAGCGCTGTTACAACGCCAACGTTCTCAAATCCTGATGTATAGTCACCACCGGACAACAGAGCGATTTCGATCATTTCCCAACGGGTCAATCCTTGAAATTGAAACAAACATTACTAAATTTCCACTGTCACTGAATATAAGCTTAAGTAAAGAAGTGACAAATCAACTGCTATGTTAGAAATAAATTGAGCATTGAATGAAATATCCGACCAAGTTGTTCACGAATCGTTTCACTCGAGAATCTGTGCACTCGTCTTTTTTGGTTGAACAAATTCTTGTAGACAGTCGACGCACCAAATAACCACACATCTGAGTCATCTGATACAATACCCTTTAATTTGTTACATTCTAATCACAAATATTAACTCATTATTATCACTTTATTATAATTCATACTGTTGATAGTGTTTCAGTGATGTTGTTAATGTTTATAACCAGATGAATGAACAGTTGAATAGAATGAATAAATGACCACACTTGAAATCACCTGAACTAAACCCAATCGTTCCAATTCACAGCACTGAGCCTCAGCTTCAGCCGGTGAAATAACAAACGGAATACCGCAAAGACGTAACAATTCCTGCAAGCGTTTCGTTCATATACATAGAATCCGATCAAGTAACAATCAAACGAGTTGAAGCAGCAATAAGGTAACAAAATGTTACTTTAAAAAGATCATATTAGATAGTTTTGCTTGACATTACGATCACACACCAATCCAGTGAATGCAACTCTGCTTTACAAACACGTTTGAGTATTATAATGAATTTGAGATTCTGAAATATACCTGACATTCTTTATAAACACCCTCTTCTTCACGTTCAATGTCTTCATCTGTTCGAACAACCCGTGATTCGTATTCTTTTCCCTCTTTCCTACCAAATTCGTGCACATAATCTGGCATCCAATCCTTAAAATCATTGCGGTGATAACAGAAAACTAAAATCAGTCATACCATTAAGATGAAAGTTATCGTTGAACATCTTTTCCTTAGAATTTATTCAATTGACATTTTCAAACAAAATAACGATAACACAACAAAATCACTCTTGAACACAGCAAATTTTCTTGGTGACACGACGTTCGTAAACGACTCTTCATGAATACACCTCATATTTCGCAAATTTCATGTGAAATAGCCCATTCACAATACCGTGAAAATAAACAACAGTTCTATACCTCGTTGATGGGGGAAGGTTCTTTGGTCACTGGATCATCAGTGGATGCAGGAGTGCTACGAGGTGCAGAAGTCTGCGGATCAGTTGCTCCGGTTGTTTCTGAATTTGTTTTCGTGTCTGCATCAGCAATGGGCATCACTGGATCATCAACATCAATAAATTCATCGCTTTCATCAGATGACGATTTCGCACTGTCAGACCAAGTGTCACGTTGTAAATCTGCAAATATAAACTTTGCAAACTATCATATATTCATACTTATTTGGGTGGACTGATCAAGCCTGTTCTGTCAGATATTCATTATTACTTCAGGATGCTGCCTTATATTCTGGGCGACCTCTTATATTTTGGACGAGTTCTTATATGTTGGGCGACCTCTAATACGTAGCGACTTTAATTCTACTCTACGACATCAAAGACTGCTGCATCAACAGCAATTTTTGAGAAGTTGTTCTTCATTGCCGTATGAAATCGCTGTTTGCTTTCCAAGACTGACATTGTTTCCAGTATAATTGTTTTAGTTCACACACATCGAAAGGATTTCAAATCCATGCTCAAAGAAATCTCTTGCACATTCAATATACCACCACAATATGCATATCGCATCAAATCAACGAATGCAATCTGCACCTCTCGCTCTTCTCGCAAAAACATTGCTGAATCGTTCGACAACATCACTTTTTGATTCATCTCCATACGAACATTCGGCTCTTTTCGAACCACCTTTCACTGCTGTCTCACGTATCGACATGGCAATAGCCTAAAACACTTCAAATCTTACAATGGGATTGTGATGGTGTTTGCCAAACTTGAGAAGCGATGTTTTTATCAGTGACTCGAATGTGAACAGAAAATATCTGTAGTCTTTCTGGTTTGAAAAATATTCAGACTGCAACCACGCAAGTTCATAAGGACAATATAGTGACAGTGACATGTGTTGAGCAGATATAGAGACAAGAACGATTGAATAAAAACCTCTTGAAGTGCTTCATCTTCATCTTCATCTTCATCAGTATTTTCGTCTTTAATACTGTCTTTTGGAGGTGATGGATTGCGATTAGCAATCTCCACCGATTCATTTGGCTCGATCTTAACTCCGCCACCATTTAAATTCGTTTCACTTCTCATTCGTTCCAACATAACTGGCCACGAGATTGACTCTCTGATTTGTTGCGCTTTTTCGGTTTGCTCCTCATCAATCTATCAAAAACCTTCGATGAACATGTCAAAAACTTTCGCGAAACTCACCTATATTCCAATGAAATTATTCGCTGAACGGAAGTGAATTAATTTAATTCGAAATTTCAATTCGGAAATGTGGATGAAATGAATTTTTGGTGAAGATTTCCGATAATTGAAAACTATAAAATGCGATCTAGAATGCTCACCATCACGTCCGCATCAACGTCTCGCGTCAAGAAATGTCCCCTTGTAAGACCTTCCATCACTGATAAAAGTACCGTATTCTGTGAATTTGCACCGTCTTTTGATTTCGTTTCCGAGTTGAACATGTCTCCGAGTGCCTCTTTTTTCAACTACAACCCAAAACACCTTTATTTCCAATCTTATTAAACATTATTGTTTCCGGAAACTTTCATTAAATGGAAACTGAAAATTGCATAGGAATACTGCAATGTTTGGAATTATGAGAAAACAGTAATGTTACGCACCATATCAAGTTGCTCATTGATTCGATTTCGTTTCAGAAGACGTTTTAATTGAAAGTTACAAAATTCACGTGAATCCTCTGGAACCTTAAATTTTTTTGCGTTGATTATTCGCGTTCCACTTCAACAAACTCCCAAGCTTACAATACAAAATCCAAAATCAAAACGGTCAAAGAAATGCTCAAAGAGTAAACCTGATCTTCGGTAACTCGACCACGACGTTCACGTTCACGTAAGGTCAACAGGTAATCAAGACGCTGATCAGGCGTAATCAATGTTTTCATCGATTCATCATCGAGATCATCATATTTTACATCCTCCGATTTCGAGCAAGTCGGTTGTGAAGAATACACAAACTGCACATCATCCGAATCGTTTTCTGCCTCATGTTTTCTGAATGCAAGAGAATCTTTCAAAATTTTTATACCTAATACCTCCCGATTAAGTAATGCTTGTTCACCATATGAATTTGACGTAGTATAGCAGTTTTCAGTTCATCTAGTTTCAAGATTTGAGTTAATACGACGAGAATCTGTAGTAGATTCAGTTGGGAGATAAACCCTGGCTTAGATATACAGTCTGATGAGTGGTTACGTCTGTGTTTAACATATAATATGCCGCATGAACGATGCAATTTTTTGATGGATTCTAAAGATCAGTAAACAACACTCGAACGAAACTCCTACAGTTTCAAGGTATTCTGTTGGGATTTTGCGTTATCCAACTGGATTTTCTCCATCAGCTTATCCTCTTCAGTTTTGCGTTTCGATGACGACGCAGACGATGAACTGAATGCGTTTATCCATTTATCTTGCGAATGCTCGCTATCAACTGCAATATAGCCAGTGTATCCCAACCAATTAAATGTTTGAGATTCGCTCAGAAACCTTCGGAACAGGTGAAGTTCATTTAAGAAAATTCTTTAAATACATATGAGATTTGAAGCAGTGACTTATTCCATTCATCTCACTGAATAAACACAACTGATCTGGAGATAGAAAATCGTTTGTTCTAATTGTAATCATAGCTTTAGAAAGTAGGTGAATTATTGATTGATAAATAAATAATCAATCTATTCATGGATGAATTCAGAAATCATATGGAACACGATTTGGCAAATGTGTGAATGAATGAATAATCATATTCCAATAATTAATCAAATCTCACAGATTCAACGAATCTCACAATATTACCTTCATTAGAGAGTGCCATTTCAGTTAGAACACGTTTCTGTGCTTTTGATATCTTCATATCATCCATATAACGTTTCATTTCACGTTCACGCTGAAGAATTTATTCAAAATGCAGACAGTAATAACTGCCATTGTAGAACATTTCTAATGGGTAGTGTTTAGCATATGATATTGATGTACTGTACCAGTTTTCAGTTTATTCAGTTTCGAAGTCAGAGTTAATAAGAAAGGCCATTTTATGCGGTCCATTAGAAAAACGACTGTGATCGTAGATCAGTTGGAGTGCGAGGTAGCTGGGAAACGAAACAATACACTTACCAATATCTTGCGTTTGAACTGCGGTACATTCGGTCCGTCAAAAACAAAAACAGGCTTGATTTTGTAGAAGAGCAGTTTTGAGAGACGATTTATGATTAGAGCCAAGTGCGGCGATTTGATATCCTGTTGATGGGCCGCATAACCGTGTAGGGCTTGATACAACCATATCGATATATCTGTCATTGATTTAACATCATCAACACATTCGATCACCAACAACATCCAATGAGAACATGAGGGAGTATTTTGTAGGATCAAAAATTTTCAGGATGCTTCAACTCTCATCAATAATTCGGAATCTCTTTGGAAGGATTTGGACATGTGATGTCTCTGATATCGATGCGATGGACCTCATCAGATAATGATAGTCTGTTCGGAAACCACAAATTACATTCGTGTTTCCTCCTTGCCAGTGGGGTGAAAATGCAATGCTACTATGATAGACTGATTATGAAGTCTGACAAGCAGAATCGCTCGCTAAATGAGAGTCGTTCAATAAAGAAGGATTCTCCTTNNTTTTTGGAAGGATTTGGACATGTGATGTCTCTGATATCCATGCGATGAACCTCATCCGATAATGATAGTCTGTTCGGAAACCCTAAAT